TTATACTTTTGGGGGGAAGTCGCTATGTACAACCCACACTTCAGGAATGGGGAGTTATGCCCTCCAAAATTACATTTTTCTGCTTATTAGCATCAAATTCTTGTTAAGTGACTCAAAACATAACCACAGATCCATTTTGTGACAGCTAGGATATATAATTTCCAGTTTGTGAAACCATCTCCTCTCGTGTCTCTAGCAGTTCTTCCCAAGTCCTCATTCTCCTCCTCTTAACTATGGAATCTGTCCTAGGCCTTCTCTTCTCTTTTTTCTTAATATGTTTTGTTGATTTTTTTTAGAGCTAGGAAGGGAAATAGAGATAGATAGAGATAGATAGATAGATAGATAGATAGATAGATAGATAGATGATATATGCATAGCCCATGGACATGGACAATAAGGTGGTGAAGACCTGGGGCATGGTGGGCAAAGGGGGAGGGATGGGAAACATCTGTAATACTGTCAACAATAAACGTCTATATATATATATTAAAAGAAATAGTCACGACCATTTTTCTCCCTTCGCAGCCACTGTATTTAACATTGGATTTATTCTGCCATCTGGTGGAATATTGACAAACTACAAGTAAAACCTAAAAGCTGTTTCTCAGTTTGCTATAGTCCTGTAGGTCATCTGGATATGAGACCCACTGGCTTTTAAAGCTAGATGTTTCGGGAGCACACCTTTCAGGTACAGGTCTTAAAAGTTGGGGTGTCTGATACAGGGTTCAAACCTTTCATTCCTCAGGCAGAAGCTCCAGGTTTTGAGTCCCCTCCTGAATGTGTGTTGCCATGCCACGGGTGGGATTTATGGCAAGATTGGGTATCAGCCTCTCCTACCCTCTTCAATGTGTTTTTTTGTTTGTTTGCCCAATGTGTAGGAGTTGGTAAGCTAGTTTTTAGTTAGTTAGTTTTGGAGAAAGTTGTTCCATATGTAGTTATAGATCTGGTGTGTCTGTGGTAGAAGGTGAGTTCAGGGTGCTTCCATTTTAAACCAGAACCAGAGTTGAATATCCTATATAATAAAGAACTGATATGCTAATTAGACCGAACGTCGGAATGACCTTCCAGAATGACCAGTGGGTGGGGGGCGGGACCTCAGGGCCTTGAGGCAGCTGGGGACGTGAGGGCCAAGCCTCTTGCATGAATTTCGTGCATCGGGCCTCTAATTTCTAAATAACTCAGCAAACATAAATAACACAGCAAGATAACACATTTAGCAAGAAATTATTTGCAGGAAAAAATTTAGAATCAAGTGATCCAACTGTCCATTTAGTTGGGTACTCTACTCTGATCCCTGTCTCTACTTGCCTGGCTATGAAAACTGCTACATGTGAGCTGGTGGAAGGGATGGGGTGGCATGGGACAGGGGAGTGGAGAAAGGGAAATTCCTACAGTAGTGGCCAATAGAGATAATCTTCACAAACTTATAGGACCGTTATTTTTAAATGATTAGTCATAAATCTCTGGGGGATCCTGTTACACTGCAGATTCTGATTCAGTGGACATGCATGTTCAACAAGGCTGCAGGTGACGCTAAGGCTGTTGGCTCAGCCGTAGCACAATGAAAAAACTATTTTAAAATCTATGTTTTTCCTAGCTTTTTCACAGTTTCCCTTCTTAAGTGTGTAGAATGGGGCATTTCTAAAATGTGTAGACATAAGCTTACTAGCATCTGTCATCAGTTGGCAAAGGATATAAGAGTAATACATAACTAGCCCATGAATAGACAATAACAGCTGCTTACAGTAGCGATATTAAACACCATTTCCATAATCAAAAGTTAAAAAGAAAAAGCAAAATAATTTTTCTAATAACAAAAGTATTTACAGGCACACCTCGGAGATATTGGGAGTTCAGTTCCAGACCACTGCAATAAAGCGATAAAGCGAGTGCTACAATGAAAGAGCGTTGTAATCCTTTTTTCGGGCAGAGGGGTCTTGCCTTCAATTTATATAAAAAAATGCAACATCTGTGAAGCTCAATAAAACAAGGTATTTCACGAATACTTAAAAGTGCAGCTACTTTTGAGCCACAAAAGAAAAAAGCAATGTTCATGTATGTATTTGATACAAATACAAAACACTCTTTTTTAGTTTGGCTCAGATCACTCCAAATAACTCAGAAAAACCCGTCAACAGTAATTTTGTTGACATAAGCAGAAAAATGTAACGAATAATGTTTTTTTAGGTAGATAAGCCAGAAGAGGTGGGTATAACGAAACAGCCACAGTGTTGCAAGCATATTAGACTTTAACTACAAAAAACTGAGTTGTCAGCTCAAACACACCAAAAATGAACTCCAGCTAAAAAGATATTGTGGAGCTCTGACCGTTGACAGTACGTTAAAAGACTGACAGAATATTGCATGCATAGAAATCCAAACACAAATCTCCTGAATGTTCAGAGTAAATTTTCAGAAAAAAAAACACATTTCTTTTCCTGATATGATGTTCACGCTACCTCTTTTTATCCTGAACATTAAAAACTGTATAGATTGTTCTCTTTCTTTGTGCACTTGTCAGCAACACTAAGCATTAATCCATTTTCACAAGCTATAGATTTTCAAGCTTAAGTTATGAACAGCAATTATAATTTTTGTGATAGTTAAACATAGTTTGAAATGAAAATGTGCCTCTCTACCAAATGGTAGAGTTTTCTATGGGATGAAATATACAAACTCATCCATGTACAGTTATAAGTATTCAAACATCTACGTTCCCTGAGCACCATACTATTTCTTTAGAGCAAAACAAAAGGTATTTAGTTAAGCAATATTAAAGATACATCAGTCAAAACTTTTCCCCTCATACCTATGAACTGAGATGCATTTCTGTATGAACAAAATCTGAGTCATTGATTGAATATGCAGACCTAACTTGAGGTGACTGTATTTTCTCATCCAATTGTTTTTTTAAAATATATTTTTATTGATTTCATAGGGGAAGGGAGAGGAAGAGAGAGATAGAAACATCACTGATGGGAGAGACTCATTGATCGACTGCCTCCTGCGTGTCCGCTATTAGTAATTGAGCCCACAACCCAGGCATGTGCCCTGAGTGGGAATCGGACCATGACTTCCTCATAGGTCTATATGCTCAACCACTGAGCTATGCTGGCTAGACTCCTCCAATTCTTTAGCCCAGTGCCTACTTTACATAATTTAGACCATCTCAGTTCAAGAATTAAAGACATTTCCTTTATATTTCTCTTAGATCAACATGTCTACAAATATCCTAATGCAAAGAGAGTAAAATTTTCTCTTAATCCTCAGAAGAGGATTTTTAGAATCTCACCTTACACTTCATTATCTTAGGGCAGTGATGGTGAACCTTTTGAGCTCGGCGTGTCAGCATTTTGAAAAACCCTCACTTAACTCTGGTGCTCTGTCACATATAGAAAATTTTTGATATTTGCAACCATAGTAAAACAAAGACTTATATTTTTGATACTTATTTTATATATTTAAATGCCATTTAACAAAGAAAAATCAACCAAAAAAATGAGTTCGCGTGCCACCTCTGACATGTGTGTCATAGGTTCGCCATCACTGTCTTAGGGGGATATATTTCCCCCTCCTGGTTACTGTAAATGGAAAGATACTAAGTCAGTATGCTTTGAGTACCTTCAGATTTTTGAAGGATCCCTCTGAACTGGTGGTGTCTTGGTTGGGGTATTCATTATTTACCCTGGAAGCTAAAATTAAGACCAAGTAATTAATTTTATTATCCAAATAAACCTGTTTCTAATACTTCATCCTATAAACCTCTCTGTATAAAACACAAGACAAAGTGGCTCATCTTCTCTCTCTATAAGGAGCTTTTTAGGTAGACTGGTGCTCTCTGCAATAACTGAACCCTTGCTAAAGAAAGCAGGATTACCTAACAATCTACAGTATATATATAAAAAGCCAGTGACTATAACGGCCATAACGACCTTAACGACCAGTTGCTATGATGCCCACTGTGGCCAGCAAACTGGCCCGATCAGGGTGTGGGGCCGGCTGGCCAATATCATGGCCCCTCCCCTCTGCCGGCCTGCCCCTGATCAGACTCTCCCACCCTGATCAAGAGCAGAGTGGGCTGGCCAAACACCCCCTCCATTCCCCCCAGCCAGCCCCGCCCCCGATCAGCCGGCCCCACCACGATAGGCCCGCAGCCCCTCTCCCCGGCGGGCCTGCCCCTGATCACACCCTCCACCCCAATAGGGGACAGGGTTGGCCGGCCAACCTCCTGCAGCTTCTCTCCCCCAGCTGGCCATGCCCCTGATGGGCCCCCACTACCCTGTTCAGCCTGAAACCCCTCCCCCTGGCCGACCCTGCCCCTGATCTCCCCCTACTCCAATAGGGGGTGGGG